ACGGGTAGAGTCGGGATATTTGAAAAAGTCAAAAGTATCTTTTTCTTGTTGGGATAAGTCATCAAGAGAGGATATATTTTATTTGATAGTAATATTTAATCAAAGTATGAATTATATAAATTTAATTTGAATCATGTTAATGAAAGAAATATTAAGATAATTGAAAAGATTTACTAAAACAAAAAATAAATATATCAAGATTCAAGAGTATGGATACTAATGCCTACTTCTTCTTTGTTTATCTTATGATTTTAATTTTTATGTGTATTAAGTCAACTATAAGTCTATAACTATAACAATGTGTTGAATCTCATGTCCTTGCTGAAGTACAATAGCAAAGATATTTTCTTATTTTTCTCTAGAGATTCGATATATATAAAGTTAAACATCGTTTTCTGATAAAAGTCACTTTAATGATACATATTATGATTAAACATAAAATCTCAATTAAAAATTTAAACATATTTATCACTTTATCATAAATTTACCGTCTTTTTTTATCAATAATAAAGATATACGTATCTGGCTCAACTCATCAAGGGCAAGGCAAAGAAAATATCTTTCTTTACAAATATATAAGGATAAGATTTTCATATATAGTCAAGAATCAACATGCTACAAAGAAAGTCACTAGAATAATTATTCATGTGATAACTTAAGGTGATAAAATTAAGTTTGTCCCAATGAGGAAATCGATTTTTAAATAAAATTAGTTTGTCCCAATGAGGAAATCAATTTTTAATTTCTATTTAACACTTAAAATAAGTTTAAAATGACTTTTTTTTTAAAAACGTTAAAAATCAAAAGTAGGTCTCCTCCTACTTTTATTTTTCAACTTAAAAGTAATTTGAGCTTGACTTTTTATTTTTTAACTTAAAAATTACTTTATTTTTAATCCAATCCAAATGGACTCTTACTCTTTTGAGAATATTTTTTTCTATTAATAAACCTCAAATTTATATTTTAAAAAACATTACTTAAACAATAATTACGTACTGAATTTCGTTGACCCAATATGTCCCAAAATTTACACAACAACAAAAAATACTATTTGGCCCTATTAAGTTTTGCAGATCCAATATATTCGAACTTCTATCTCTGCCCTATATCTTAATTTGGTCATATATATATATATATATATATGACAATGAATTGTAATCTCCATGTTAGTGGGGGCAATTATGGTTATTTTATATATATATATAACAATGAATTGTAATTTCCATGTTAGTGGGGGCAATTATGGTTCATGAGATGATTATATCATGTATTGCTTTTGTGGTGGTAGTTTATTGTTTCGTACTATGTGTTATATATGTGGTACCAAATAATCTCTGCATCAACAATTCCCTAAATGAATTCATGCTCAATAATTTTTTTTAGCAGACCTTATATTTTTGTGTACTATTTTTTTATATATTTATTTTATTTATGACTGACTTAACATATTCTTTAAGAAATAGTAAATAAAAGCTTTGATTTTATTATATCACTCTTAGTATTTAAAATTTAAAAATAGAAATAAAATGATAACTCTTAATATTTTAAAACTAAACAAGATAGAATGAACATATATTTCTAATATAGAGGACAAGTAAATTTGAATAAAGCGGATAAAAAAAAATCTACAAATATTTAATTGTGAATTCACTTTATTTTAGGTTTCGGGTCATGAAACAAAAATTTAAAATTACTTAAGTTCTCCTTATGTATTAGTCCAATAATTTGTCGTAATATGAGTTAATGATTCAGTTCAAACCCATATATTGTGGGATACATTTGAAACGATCTAGTGAATGATACTTATTACCTTTTGGACCGTTTTCACAATTTCAAAGCTGTGGGATTTTAAAATAGAAATCCAGGATTATCTCAATTTTTTGTGTTCATGAACTTTTTGGAATATGACTGATCAACTCTATATATTTTGACCTCAAATTTTATAGGTCTATTTGAAACAACCTAGCGAACGACACTCATTGTTTTTCAAGGACCAACGTCTCTTTGTTAAAAGTTTTCAGATCAAAAAGTCAGAATTCAAGATTATCCCAGTTTTTGAGTGTATTAGTTCATGAATTTTTTTTCGAATATGACTGGCCGACTTTATTTGACTCAAAATTTATTGGGTCCATTTGTGACGTCGTATTGAATTGCTTCTACCAAATTGACTTCACATTTTGGAGTTTCAAAGTCAAGAAACAAGTATTTAGGATTATGTTAGTTTTTCGTGAGTATTGGTCATTAAATTTTTGGAATATGACTGACCGACTCTATTTAATCTCAATTTTGTGGGTTAATCGTGACGACCTAGTGATTAGTACTCATTACCTCTACAGGACTGGCGTCATTTTGTAAGAGTTTTAGAGTCACAAAACATATATTTCCAAATTATCTAAGTTTTTTTTTATGTATTAGTTCATGAATTATTGGAAATGTGATTTAACGATTCTGTTTGACCCCAAATATGTAAATCCATTCATGACAATCTAGTTAAGGATACTCATTACCTCTATAGGACCAAAGTCACTTCTTTTGGAGTTTCGAAGTCATGAAATATAAATTCAGGAGTTTCTAAGTTTTTCGTGTGTATTAGTTCATAAATTTTCTGGAATATGATGACCTACTTCGTTCAAATCTAAATTTTATGGGTACATTTGTAGCGAACAAGTGAATGATACTCATTACCTAAATCGGACATCACTTTTTAAAATTTTTGGGGTCACAAAACAATAATTTAAGATTGTCTTTGTTGTTCGTGTGTATTAATCCATGAATTTTATGAAATATGGCAGACTAACTCCGTTTGACCACAAATTTTGTGGGTTCATTCAAAACGATACTCATTGTTTCCCAAATTTTGTCGGTCCATTCAGGATTATTTAAGCTTTTCGTGTGTCTTACTCCATCAATTTTTTGAAATATGACTGACTGAGGCCATTTACCCCTAATTTTTTTGGTCCATTCGTGACGACCTATTGAACAATACTTATTGTTTCTACAGGATCAACATTGCTTTATGAATTTTTTGAGTCACAAAATAAGAATTCAAGATTATCTCAATTGTTGTGACTTATATGTATTAGTCCATAAATTTTTTGGAGTATAACTGACTGACTTTATTCAAATCGTAATTATGTGGATCCATTAATGACGACCAAGTTAACGATACTCATTGTTTTTATAGGTCTGACGCCATTTTTTTTTAGAGCTTTGGGGTTATAAAATAGAAATTCAGAATTTTCATATGCATTAGTTGATGAATTTTACCAGATTATGACTGACCTATTTTGTTCAACCCTAAATTTTGTGGGTCCATTCAAAAACCTTGGTAAACGATATTCATTGTTTCGCAAGGACCTTGTAAGCTACAAATAATGATATAACTAATGCTTTGCAGTACATTACATTTTGAAATTAAAGTATATATTATATTACATTATAGTGTTTTACACACATTTTATTCCTCAAAATGAAATTTGTGTCATGTGGCATTTGTATTCCTAATTAGGATAAAATGGTTTCAATGAAATGTAATGGTGTCTAGCTTAGGCAAAAGCTAGCTATTTTAAGTCCACAGCTTGTACATTGTGTTTAATTAAGCTACAATATCTTAATTTGTATCAAGTTCCTAGGACAAGATATAAGTTTCATTTATTTCCATTGATCGATCACAAGCTTGTAATAAAGTCGTATTAATTTATTGTCACGATTCAATTTTATTTATTTATAATTAAAATAGATTTGAGTATGAAGGACGGAAAGTGTTCGCCTTTTAAGATTTTACTTCACGTTCAAAATAAATATTCACATTTTATTATTTCCAAACGATGTTTGTTTATTGTATGCGTACATTATACTTTTTCTAAAAAATAATTGTTATCATACACATATAAATAAAGAAAAATCTATCAATTTCGCAATTTCAAATCAATCAATTTATTCAACCTATCTATTAAAACAATATGCAAGTTGATGTTCCTGATATGAAAGTGTGGTAGCTTGTTAAAGTAAATCTCCGTCAAGTGTCATTGATGATGAAGTAACAATATTTAATAAAATGAACCAATTAAGTAACAAAAAAAGATTTCGTAGTGAAGTGGAAAAAGACTTAATTAAGGAAAATTAGTAGAAAAATAATAATAATAATAATAATAATAGTGTCAATATATAATTGGAAGTATAACTGGTTTAAAAGGGACGTTTCATAAGTGAAATGAAAATTCATTCACATGCTTTGGTCTCCCAATATTTACACCAAAAGTCCGTCCAACTATGTACACTTTTTCGACCTTATCTCTCAACTATGCCTTCTTTTGAACGTGGTGTTTAGGTCAGCATACATGTATCTCAATTAAATTAATGAAAAATATGATATCTTTTTATACTAATACAGGTATCAAATAATTTTGTTTATCATGACTTGGATGGATGGAAAGATATCACTTGTTATTTTTTCTTCTGTTGAAATTTGAACTTAAAATCTTATGATTCTGGTCATTTAACCCACTTCATTAACCTATAGGTTGTTGAGTGCGTGCAAACAAATTAAGTATCACATGGAAAGTGTAAAAGAGTTCTTTGATATGTGTTATCTGAGCCGAGAATCATTCAAAAACAATCTCTCTACCTTGCTAGATGAGATAGTTAGGGGGTAAGGTATGTACACTCTAGCTACCCTCCTGGACTCCACTTGTGGAATTTCACCAAATATGTTATTGTTGTTGCTGATAAGTAAAAAAAAATTACTTATAAAATGTTGAATAATCTAAGTGGTGTAAGGCCTAAAGGGAAAATCGTACATATATAGTACTTGACCTAAAAGCGAACAATATTGATCATATTATGTTAAGAATATATTTAGACGGTTATAACTAGCCCAACAAAAGCCACACCCTTAGGTGTTATCTCTAAACTATGACTTCTCACTCAAACACTATATAAGCTAGGTATAACATACCTAAAAAAGCACACCAAAGTTAGAAAACCCTACTAAAAAAAGACCAAGAAAACAAAAAAACCCTATTAGTGTCAAAAAACACAATGGCAAAATTAGCTAAAATAAGCAATGGGAAGAAAAAGATGAACAAGATAGTGAATTTGAAAATTGTGGTGGAGAAATTACAAAGGAGGCTTTCAATGGTTAGGAGATTGGGAGCCGAATTCGATAGTCAGCATCAGCATAACCAATCAGATCAAAATGACTCCTCGAATAACGTGCCTGAGGACGTTAAAGAAGGCCATTTTGCTGTTATTGCTGTTGATGAGGATGAATTGAAGAGATTTATTGTGCCATTGAAATGTTTAACACATCCTTCATTCTTAAAACTATTGGAACAAGCTGCTGAGGAGTATGGCTTTGATCATGATGGTGCACTTACAGTACCATGCAGGCCAAGTGAATTTGAGAGAATTTTGAGACATGAACAATCAAGTATGTTGAAAAGTTGTTAAACATAATGGAGCAAAAAAAAAAAAAAAAAAAGCTAACACTTTTAGCTTAATTTGCTTCCCATCTATAAGTTGATTTTATCATGTTATCCCTAAATTATATATTATGAAGCCTAAGTGTTGTAGCATGGTAAGAATTCCTGATTTGACCGGAGTAATACGGTTTTTCACTTGAGAAGTGGATTGAAGTGATTGCAGTGAAGAATTGACCTGAGAAGAAGTACTAATGAAACATGAGTCAAATGGTTCTTCTTGAATCGCTCTATTTCTTATTTTTGACCGTTAGACGAGGATCAGGATAGAGGGATGATTGATCATCCCTTAGGATGGTAGATTCTATTTCTTGATTATCCCATCAAGTTACAACTTTGGTTAATTAATGATATATAATTACTTTTTTTCTTCACCATGGTTGAGTTTTGCATGCATTACATGTACATTTTTAAAACATATATGTTGTTATACTATTTGAGTATATAATGAAGATTTACTTTATTTTACTGAGTGATTTACTTCATCCTACTTTTACTTTCTTTTTTTTAATTTTTAATTTTTAATTTAATTTACTCTTGTTTTTGTATAAGTGCGTAGTGGAAAATTGACATCCATCGTGACCAAGTAAAGGAGATAGAGTAAGAACTTTCTTATTTATGTCAATGCATATATGATTAGGGTCAAGTTTAGGAATGAAGAAACTATTATAAAAAGAGAAAAGACTAAAATATGTCGTTCATTAATAATCGGTTCTGAATATGCTTCGATCATTACCATTTTAGACCATATGTGTCATTATCCACTAACAAAATCTTACATTATCCTCTTCTCTCTCGTTGTTTTTACAAATAATATATGTTAGCCATTTTGTTAAATTCAACGACATATTTGAGCTTTTTCTCAAGCCACCATTGATCACGTCAATAATTAAAACACCATGAACACACTTGTGGTGATTGGAAGAAGATGAAGATTAACTAAAAAAAATATATTTAGTTGGATCAATGAATTTCAAATTCCAAGAGGTTAAACAAAAAAGACGTTCACATGGAATATTGCATTTGATGTGAATAATTAAACGAGGATGTATATTTTATGTGATATATTTATCTACTTAATGAACACTTATAAACATACACAAAAATAATATTTTCAAAATATGAGCCATAAGAGTCTAATAAAAATATTTAATAATATTTTAAAATGTTTAATCAAAACAAACTGCAATTCAAGTATTTAAATAAAATTTAATGTAAATTTAAAACATTATCAATGAATAATGTAGAAGGATGCTAAAAGGTACAAACACCGTAATGTGTGGGGATCCCACTTGAATTTTGGCCCCCTCTTTACTTGTGAAGTCTAATTTGATTAGATAGGTCACTTGTCTATCAATTATTATAAAATGACTTGAACTTCATCGAAAAATTTTACTTTGAGCGAGATACAACCAATAAAACTTATATGAGGATCCATTAACGAGTTGGCATGTGGATCGTGTGGCACAATTTGTCCTTTAAAGCTGCAACTAAAATCAAAGAGGAGAGAGTGTAAAGTTTAATTGGAAATTGAAAGAAAATTGTGGGATCCGCGTACAATTAAATAAACAAAAATGGTGTATTCAAAGTTGAAAAGTGCACAGTAAAAAAAGTAATGAAACGAACGAAAAGTTATTCTATACGTATATTGAAATTTTCTGATTAAAACTATTTAAATAAAAATGTCAAATAAGATATCAATGCCCAGATTGAAGTTTCATTACTTTACTATTTCTAAAAATTCAATATATTAAATATAAATTTTGTACGATTTAATAAAAGTATAATAAGTAAAAATTTGACTGTTTTGTTCCAAATTAAAATGAAATTCGTACTATATAATGTTGTTATTCATCTAACACCATTTAGATTAAAAAAAAAAAAACTCTAATAATATGGTCGTTATATCATAGGATACTTTTTAAAATTTTCACTTTGTTACATATTTCAAGTCTTTTTCTCAATCCATATATCAAATAGCCATTTTTAAAAGTAACGCGAGTTTGAATAAAATAGAATATTCATAAATCTTATTTTATCTTATAATATAGAATCATTTTTAAAAGTAACGCAAATTTGAAGAGATCAAAGTGTATATAAATATCATTTTATCTTGTAATATAGAAATAATGTTTTTTTTATATAAATCCTTAATTAAACGAGTTAAATAAATGTGCATATAAAACATAAAATAAAAATATTGGTCAGATGATAATATGACTTCTCATTCCCTTCATTACATTTTAATGTGTATTTTTCCACTTTCAATACAACATTTTAGTTTATTTAATTGTATATATATAAATATTATTTTATCTTGTAATATAGAAATAATATTATTTTTTTATATAAATCCTTAATTAAACAAGTTAAATAAATGTGAATATTAAACATAAATAAAACATTTTAGTTTATTTAATTGTATTTGATATGGACCCACGATTTTCTTTCAATTTCCAATTAACCTCTACACTCTCTCTCCTCTTTGGTTTTAATTGCAGTTTTAAAGGACAATTTATGCCCCCACAATCCACACGTCAACTAGTTAATGGGTCCTCATACAAGTTTTGTTGATTGTACATCGCTCAAAATAAAAAAATTCGATTTCATCACGTGTTGTCTGGTTCCAACTTTCAAGTACTTACTAGTGTGTGAGCCAAATGAGAAAAGAGAGAAGAAAAGGTGGAGATGTTTCAAAGTGTTTCATAATGGTAAGGTGCAAATAAGGTGAAATTAGAATTTTTAACTTTTGAGTTCTTGATAAATAAATAAATAAAAGTAACTCAGTGATAAATACTTATATAGATTAAGTATTATTTTTTCATATAAATATAAAGTCTGAATTAAAACTATTGACTCTGTCAATTCTATTAGAGAAATTGTGTTTTATGTACACGCACTTTGATTATCCTACTAGGTATTTGTTACTTCCCTACTTAAGTGCTCGACCAAGTAGTGATAAAGTGGCTTCCCTCTAACACTGGTTCCTCTAGGGTGGCTCTGCCCCTATAATATTTCTCTACTACCTAATTTTGACCATCAAGACTTTGAGTAAGAAGAAATCACTTGATATTTTTAATTTTTTTGAAATTTGGACTTACAACATCATGATTCTCCTCCTATTTTATTGACCATCAACCACACCCTCGAATTTTCTTTCTTCCTTTTTGTTCAAGAAGTTACATCCAATAACCTTGGAAGTGGACATTCTTAAACTTTTGACCCTTGTCATGGGCAAACATTCAAAGTTAAAAGAAAAAATTTATTAAATTTGAAAGTTGGCCAATGGATTAAGCAACATCAAAAGTTTTAGACCAATCACCTCCAAAGTCTTACGCCTCTGAGGTTTTTCTTGTAAATCACCCCCTTTATGTTGGGCATATTTGTTAACCGTGCTATACAAGCCAAGAAGGCCCAAAATGAAATAAGTGCATGAAAAGCCCTGTATGAAAATAAGAAGCTAAATATATTACTTGTAAAAATATATTCTGGAATAAATAAGAGGACAAATCATCACTTTCTCCCTCTGTGAATCGGATGATAGTTGAAGTCGATTGCTCTCTTGGATTCCCTCATTTGGAATTTTTGGGGAAGAAGTATCTTCGTATTGGTTCCTTCTTCCATAACCAGAGCTTGGAAAAGTAAAAGATAAGAGGGTATGGAGAATGTGGTCAAAAATCCATAATAGAGTTCAACCACAATGATCGAATTGATTATCTTCCTGCATAAGGATCTTAAATTACCAAGTATAAAAAGATGGAAAGATAATCACAAACCTCACCTAGCACAGAAAGAGATAGACTGGAAATAACATATATTAAAAAGATTTAAATTGATTCTTATATATAAGCATTATCTACCTTCAATTCTTTAAACGATATACGACAAATAAATATAAAAAGGGAAAATCTATGAAGAGATTCCATCATCTCAACTCGTACTCATTGGAATTACGAAATTAACCCAAGTACTTCGACATTAAAAAAAGAAACATATTTAAACATTATAATAAAGTAATATTTTACCAGTCAAAACTCAAACAAGGTTGTCTCCTTCTCCCTTACCTCAATTATATGAATATTATATAGAAAACAACATTTTCTACCATTAAAGTCGCGTTGAGAGCACCATCTTTCAAATTTAATCGAAACTCCATCAGTTGTATCAATATAATACAGAGAACAACATTTTCTACTATTATTAAAATCATGTTGGGAGGATTACCTTCAAAATAAACCCTACATCGCACAATTCAAATTTATTTGTCCTATTTTCAAGTATACAATCTAACTACAAAATATTAAGGAGTTAACGTTCAAAGTGTTGTGAACTAGATAATTGGCGCAACAACCTGCTAATTCTACTTGCCACCCACCCCTTCATGTTGAAAATAAAATAGAAACATATATACTAGAGAGACAAAGATGATTAAAAAATCCATAATAGCTTTCAGAATTCCAAAATCCGAAGTACATAGCAATGATATAGAATAGAAATGACATAAGGAATAAGCTGTAATGTATGCTCTCCAAAACCTAGGGTAATATGTAATTAGAGTAAAATGGACGACAAAAATAGTGGACTAAGCCCGAACAATAACCAGAGTTCAAACAGTCGGTGACCATGGTTCGATCACTTACTCTCTCTCTAGCACCAGGTGTGGTCTTAGCTAACGTTACTTAGGTCTTACTGGTGATCAAGAAGCCTTTACTTTCTCCCCTCAGCTACCGTGATGGGAGCCTGCTGATGTTTCACCATTACGCCTTGGCACTGAACCACCAAGAGGAAATAGTGATACCATCACACTTTCTAATATAACACAGAGATCTTACTTTTAATCACCCAATCCAGCCCTTTTCTTCAAGTGTTTCTTGAACTCCATGATGCCACCCTCCCATCGTGTCACAGCCTGATTTTCACATACCCATATCTCATGGGCCACCTGATTTATGAGCCTAAAGTCGTGACTCACTAGAACCATCCCACCATCCCATGCGTTCAA